CTTAAATTATGCCGGTAGACTAATTGCAAGTTCATTATCAGCTTTCATTTCTAAAATAATTAATCCACGAGTTGGCTATAGACACCCTTTGATTTCTTTTAGTGTATACACCTACAATAGTTTATTGTTTTGTCGCCTAGAGCCTGTACTGAAAATGTCGGCTAAAGTCTCAGATGGTACAGTTCATTTCCCCAGAGGATAGACCTTTTCATTCCGACCGGTTTCTTCTCTCAAATGAAACACTTCGGACTCAAAACCCAAACCCAAATTTTCCTCAAATTTCCGAAGCAAACTTAGTTCTAAATATCTCTATCCGTCACCTCGTGGGAGAAGAACAGATTTACCCAACTTTTGATGGCCACACTTTCCATTCTCCCTTGACCTCAGTAAAGACAAATTTCATACAAATCTGCCCCTCCCCCAGAATCGTCTGTTTGTATTCTCCCAGATTCTGGGAGACAGGTGACTTGCCTAAGTCAAGTTTACTTCGGGGACTAGGAGAAAGGATAGTCCGACGTCACCCCCTCTTCCCCAGTCCCTCTCTTTCTCAGTTATGTTTGTGCAGCATTAAAAGAAGGGAAAAAGCCTTATAAAAGAGACGGATATTAGAACAGGTAGATACATAGATGAAACAACAAATACGCTATTTCCGAGTTTCAAAATCTCTCACTTTCAAAATGAGGCTAAGTGCAAAAACTTTCTTGTGAAAATGAGTTTTCTTTGCACGAGAATATCAAAGCATTTTCATAACAATTTCTTCGCTCTTAGCCTCGCTTTGAAACAGTGTTTGCGCAACTTGGTAATCGCTTATGCGCCCTTTTCTAAGTAAAACTCTAGAATATTGCAAGCGATTATAAACATTGCTTTTTTGCTGTGCAGTTGACAACTCCTCCTGCTATGTTTGGCCATAACTGTATCGCTGTTGAACGCTCAAATCTATTTAAGGGTATAAACGCTGAAAACGCTTGCTCAGCTAAAACCATGAGGAATTAAAAATAGCTTTTCTCCAAATGTACAACCATTTAAGTGACATACATTTGTATCGTCAGTAATATTTTATATGCTACTACATTATACTACTTATTTAGTAAAAGTAGTTCTAACGTTTTAGTAGAACCTTCACATAATGCCATTGGTTTTGCAGTATTTTAAACTTGGGCCTTTTCGTGAGTTCTCAATCGGAGCGCTCTCGGGAATGAAAGCGTTACGAGAAATTACTGTGACAACTCGACAACTTTCCCTAAAAGATTTACAGCTATGAGAATTTGCCAATTGCCGGCCTTATTCTTGGATGATCACGTTGTAATGACATGAGGGATCTCTTCAGTTCCCCAGTCATATTCAGATTGATTTGAATCGAGTAAGCACTTAAATGGATTCTCGCCATACACGTGATCTCTGCTTGACCTCTCAGAATCAAGGAGCACTCGTGCCCAGTATTCACGGTTCACCGACGGTTTATTTCCCCCGAATTCCGCTGGCAGCTTTTCTTGATCACAATGATCGTGAAGACTTGCCATGTTGTTTCCATGCACGTGAATCTGAAATTTGAAAAAGGCAAAAAGTAAAGAAAAGATAGCGCGTGAAGAATTTTCCACTTTTGGCAGAATATTGACTGACAGAGTAAAGTCTTATCTCATAATAGATCTTACGCAATAGGACGGCAGTAGTCTGTTCCGGCTGGCTCCAAGATAGTGGGGAAAGTGGATCGAGAAAAGTTGCGCGAAAACTGCGAGGGGGCTGGGGAGAGACGGAGTGGTGGACCCTGTAAGCATTGTTTTCAGTAGCTCATTTTGGTATACCAGCTCCTGGTATACCCTATGATTGGTCAATTGTGTGAGTTTACTTTAACACTTATGTCAATCATTTGGCTTCGCGCGCGCAAAGTCTAACACACATGTCAAGCGAGTGAAACTCTCCTACACCGCACCTTTTGACATTTTGACACGAGAAACGGTTTTTTCAGGACGCCCAGGCGCTAGTCGCTTTTTTCGCTCGTCCACTAGGACGGCAGAGGAAAGAAGACGGCAAACCTTATGGGACAAACTCAAGACCTTTTTGTAAAATACCAGAACACAGTAACATCAAGTAAAGATCACGACAAAACACGCACGTAATAGTCCTGTCACGTTCGTAACGCGTAAACGTTTCTCCGTCGTCGTTTTTCTTCCGTTCTGTTGCGTAAGTTTACTATAAGTGTGCGAAACGACAGTTCATGGCCAGCCGGCTATCCTGCAAAAACTGTGCCGGTGTATTGCAGGTGTAATGGCATTAATGCATCGGTTTTTCAACAACTTTGCGACTATCTAGAGGCAATTGTTCATTATCGTCCACTGTCCTCGGAACATCTTTTGGTCTAAAACATAGGCAGCGTTCACAGTTGGTACCCGGGCACAGTGGCCGAGTAACGGTAGTCGCTATGCACTAATGTGAACACACCGTTTTTAATAGACCCGAGCTAGAATTTTGGCACAGTGTCGATGCCCGGATACAATGTCGAGTCCTTGTACTCGGGCACAAAACAGGACACCGCGTCCCTGTGTACACACCGTTAGTTCTGGGGCAGCCCACTGCTTAGTACTCGCTGCTAAGCTCAAGTTTCAAAATGACGTCTGACAGGCCGAAATGGAGTAACTATGTACACAGTCACATATAGGATACTCAAGGTGTGAACACAAGGCTATTATGTTCCTTTGCCAAGGCACTGATTCCGGGGTACGAGTGTGGACAGCTCCTCAATTTAATAGAATATGGTTTCGAAAGTGCATCTCAAAATCACGCCAAATAGAGTGGTGAAATCAAGAACATAGGTTTATAATTCAAGTTCTTCACGGGTCACCCAAAACCTTCAGATCACGGATCACGAAGAATAATTTATTAAATTCACGTTTGACGGAAAATAAAAATCAGCTAGTCACGCATCACGGGAATACCCCTGTATGACCCTCAGAGAGTTTGAAACACACGTTGACAGCAAAATTCTTTTTTCCCGTTCCAGCAAAAAAAAAAACCATTCTCTTTATCCCTTAGCTTGGCATAGTCAAAGTCCCTTAGCTGTTCGATGCGGTTCAAAAATTATTTTTACAAGGCCTCACAGTGAAAACAATAGACAAAGAAATATCACAATGACTCCATCCAAAGAGGTTTTCAAGAGCTGCGTACTAACTGCAAAATTTCGATAAAAATTTGGCATGAAAAACTCGTCGCCCCTAACATTTTAAAGTATAAATATCGTGTTAATAAGTGACCTGATTTATCACGTGACGATTGATCAAAAAAAAAATCTTAAACAATTGACAAATAAGTGACGGGTTTAAGAAAAGAAATCAAGCAATAACAATTTTCTGATTCATATTAAATATTAATTTCTAACACTTTACCTTTGGAATGACTGTCCATTGCACTTCAATAAAAACATTATGAGGGAAAACATCATTTTAAATGCCCAAATCTAACCTTGAATTATTCAAAACTTTAAATTTGCACTACGCGTACATTCATTCCAAACGTAGAAAGTTGGGTATGTTTATCCTCTATCAGAAATGCCAATTTATTTAACCAAACAAAGTAAATTCGCCGCCAATTCGCCAATGTCCTTCATTTTCAATTTTTGTTCACGTGACAAGTGAAGATAAATAAACGTTAAGGCACAAGAAGACCCCAATATTTATTTAAAAATCTTTTTGTTCTAGGTATCCTAGTGAGAGTTATTGCCAGTCAGTCATATGCTTCGAACACACCTATTCGCAGGCTTAGCCCTTTGAGAAAAGATTACTTTAATGAAAAGGATTTGTTCCTAGCGCGTATCGCCATAGAGTTGTTACTCACCCGTTTCCAGATCTTTGTTTCAATAAATGGTTTCAGTAAAGTCAGAACAGCTCTCACATACCAGGGCTCGTTCACAAAATGGAAACCAAGAAACCTTGCTGGGTAGTGATCCTACAAAATTAAGGACAGAAAATTATTTACTTAATAGACATGTGGTTCAATGTCCTAGCGAAAAGCTAAGAGAACGACGTCAGCACCAGCAAATAACACCAGGGACAAAAATTCCCTTATTAATAGAACGCCAGCCCAGACCTGAACAAAATTCCTCTCGCTTCCCTTCCGAATCATCAAAATCTACAGATTTTGTCAAGTTAAACAGGATACCCAACCCTCCAAGCTTCAGGGCTCTCGGCTCATATCGCACCCAGACTCCCGATGCGAGACGTCCTTGAGAGATTGGCTTTTTGCTTATCTGTGGACGCTTCTTAACATTGTGTGTTTGGCTTTAAATTAGCCAGCAAATGACAAGAATTGATATGGAAAATCCCTCCATAGAAAAACTCAAACGAGCAAGCATTTTTAAAGTGCGATACAACCGCCGCGAACTCCTTTTACAAGATGAAATCCAAAAAAGAAAAATTGCCGCTGATCGAATGAATAAGGTTTAACTTGTGCTTTTATTTTTTCTGTTTTATTATTTTGGTATGAATAGGGCAATGGATAGTTACGTAAGAAACGGGTAACTATAGTGACTGCTGCAAGGTCAGGGCTCTTACTGCGAACCCGGAGGGGGGTGGAGGAGGCGGGATTGAAGGGAAGTTTGGTGCCCCCAAACCATGACTTTTTTGAAAATCTCGCTACCCTGTTTAAGACAACACAGGTAGCCCAAGCTAGAAATATGAGCATTGGCGAACATCGACATTGTTGCGTAACATTCGAAATATAAGGATTTGTATGGGAAAAAAAACCTATCGTTTCAGTAACAGACGAAAATGAAAGGATTTCAATAAAAAACAGCTTACCTTACATAAAATGTGTGTTACTGTCTCTCCTGTGTGTGGGCCGATTTATGGCCGTTTTATGGGTTGTACTGTAAACAGCGGTTTTCTCTCTAAACCTTTAAACCTTTATACAGAAAGAAAACCGTTTACAGTACAACCCTGATAAAACGGCCATAAATCGGCCCATGGACCACACAGGAGACATGTAACACACATTTTATGTAAGGTAAGCTGTTTTTTATTGAAATCCTTTCATTTTCGTAGGTTACGGAAACGATGGGTTTTTTCCCTTATAAATCCTTATATTTCGAATGTTATGCAACAATGTCGATGTTCGCCGATGCTTAGATTTCGAGCTGGGGCTACCTGTGAAGACAAGAGAACATTTTTGTGGCCCAAATATAACACCCTGTTTAAAAACATCTTCTTTGTTTCTTTAATTTGGAGTCAATGGGCTTTTTTTAAACACAGATCACACTGCAAGTGTAGGCCGCGCCCTACTAAGTTTCAGACCCGGTTCGTTCCGTACATTGCAGAGTCATCGAGTCAGAACTACCTTCAGAGTCCCTAAGGCTGCAGTTGCTGGACAAATTAACGCTTAATTAAAACAATTTAAGAACATTTAGCAGCATTGAAGTATTTACAGAGGTTCGTCAACAATGAAATTGTAACTAAATTACAAAAATCCGGATAACATAATCCTTTCACAATTTTTGACATTTATATATATGCTATCCTTTCACAGAAACAATAGTAATTAAGGTGCCCATCAAAGCAGAAATATTCGGTAAACGTGATTGATTATTCTTTTTCCGTTTCTTCTCGATCGTTCTACTACTAAACTTATACAAGGAGAAACATCATAAAGAAACCGATTATAGAGGATCTTATGCGGAGCTCCCTTACCTGAAGCATACAGCAAACTTGACGAATGAAAGAAACAGACAATTGGGATGTGTGAGTGGTCGTCCATCCCGAAAAATCGGCAATAATTATTATTCCATTTCTTTGAACGTCTTTGTCCTCTATCAAGCGTTCCATGCTTAGAATAAAAGCTTTCAAAATATCTACCGAGCCATAAGTTTCGGTGTCCCACCCGCCAGCAAATATAACCATCATTTTAGCTCCGTTCTGATTATTGTACGGTAAGACACAAGGAAAACCGTCCTCAATAACATGATGTAATCTCCAGGCGGTGAGGTTTTGAAAAACGGAGGCATTCTTGGCACGGAATTCCTTATAATTGCACAGAAGTTGATAAGATGCCGGCACTCTGAAATAGCGAGCTCGGAGAAAGAGGAGAAGGAATGCGTCGTCGTTGCGTTCTAGGTGTACAAAATTGTTATTTCTGTCTTCTTTAATCTTCGACCTGAGCGCTTTGATTTTCTCCTTGTGTTGACTTTGTGCCGGCTCCTCATCGTCATCTTGTTCCGGTAAGTTCTGTTCGTAAATTATGTCCTCTGTTGACGAGGTTAAGTCTTCAGAATCGCTGCCAGGGCTTTGATTCATGAGCCTTGCTGATCTGATGACAAAATAAAGTTGACTTCCTGAACTAAAACAGTGTTCAATGTTGTTAGCTGTAATCTCCCTTCCTGTAACTAACAAATTCGCTTAAATACTGCGCTTATTGAAATTAGTCATTCTATGCATGCTTATAAGTAAGTTCAAAAAGTTTTGTAATCATGACCACGCAAAGTTTAAGTTTGACACCAATCAGATCACATGCGCATCCGCTTTTTTTCAAAGTAGCGACGTTTTTACCATTGAACTCCGGCTGCTAAGATACGAAAACACTTTGCAAAAACTTCTGGGTCACGCAATTGTCGTTTGAGTCTATGGAGGAGTTGGTGTTTAATATGTACGAAATGTAAAGTAGTAATTTCATTTCTATTAACATAATGACTTCTCGCTTGACTACTCATCAGTTTCATAATAAACGCCCTTCGATGCATTTAGAAGGTGGCAGGAGAGCGCGCTTTCTTATACACACGGTACCCAGGGTTACAACCACGCAATCAATGCGCGCTTTCTGTCCGCTATGCGGGCTTTAGCGGACATGTCAGTTGTAGTCTGTAGAAGGTACTTATTCCAATGTTTTTTAAATTACTTTTTAGGATTAGTAATAAAGATGACGTTTTAAACAATGTAAGATCGGTCAGTTAAAAAGTAGCCTCCGAGCAGAGGTTTCTTTGCACACATTTACGAAGTCGTTCGCGTCGCTGTCCGTTGCGTAGTTAGTTTTTACCGCGGCCCTCAAGAGAAACGGGGCGTAAACATTAACCAACTACGCTTCTCATCATGACATACGACGCTAACGACTTCATAAACGCTAAAAGGTACGGAAGAGAAACCTATGCTCCTAGGTAGTTAAAAGAAGATCAGGGGCCGCACCCAACGAGAATATAGTTCAAAACCACTTAAATATAGCATTGTTGAACGTATTTTAGTATTTTAATGGTAGATATAGGCATATTTTTATCCCCTAAAAATTTTTCATCTGTTCGGATTTCCTAGCTGAAAATTAAGGCTAGTAATCCGAAAATTATAGGGATCAAAACTTACCTTCAGTTTTCAAAAATTTCAGCCAAATAAAAGGCTCCCGAAAGTTCTAGCTGACCTTTTTAGGGTAGAAATCCGGCAATTATACCATTTTTTGGATGTTCGAAAATCCTGGGAGAGGCAGGCAAGTAAGAAATTTTGCAACAAATGTTCCGAAAATTCTAGATATCTCAAATCGTCTTCCGAACAGATATTTTCCAAAGATTGACGTTGGGTGCCCCTGAGAAGATGTATGTAAAAATAGCAATGTAAAACTGGATCACTTTCAATTTTAAGTAATGGTCCGCGTAAGAACTAGGCAGGCAGAACGCAAAATCGATTAAAAGGTGTTAACTTTTAATTTTTAATTTCAATTAAATGGTGGGTTCTGATTGGCTGAAATCCAAAAATCGACGAAAAAACAAGGAAAAACGTGACAAAAACAACTTTTTTTAGCTTTATTTTCCCCATTCTCCTGTTTTTTACCTCACGGCCAAGTTTAAGCATTGTTCTGTGCGCCAATCAAACGTTAGAGCGGAAAACGTGCAACACGCGCGTGAACTTGTTGTGAGCCAATCTTGGATGCGATATTTGAGATGTGAGGAAATTTGTCTTTTACCCAAAGAAATGTCGTCAATTTCATCGCTGAAATCTACATATTTCCCTTTATCGATTGTTTATTGCTTTTATTCAATGTATTTTATCATCGGAGTGATCGTGAAATTCCTACTGAAGCAGCGTTTGCATCTGTCCTCAACATGTCGTCGAGTGGCCATGTGGACAAGTAGGACCGAAGCAGTTGTTTATGTTGGCAGGAGGAGATCGCTTTGATTCAGTGATGATTCAGAGTAATTGTGGAGAATAGCTGGGCACAAAGAGTAAAAGCGATAGATTTGTTCTTTATACAGAAATAAATTAAATGTCTTAAAGCGATGTGAAGCCGCCTGATTTGAGCTTGAGGTAAGCTGAACCCAATAAATTTTCGCATCACCGCATGATGTGACTGTGTAGTTATTTTGTCCTTTTCGAAACTTAAGAATTTTGTGTATCTGTACTCTTCTATAATTCCATTTGTTTTCAATCTAGGCTGTTCGTCGAGCTAAGTGCAACTTAAGACGAACGAATTGAAATTTGTAATGGTAATTTCGCAACAGTTGTAAGACGGCAGGCGCTTAGTTATCATATATAATACAAATGTAGCTCTCACTAGTTTTGAGTGTTACCTGATACGAAAGATCATGCAAGTTTGACTGTAACTGTTTCCTTTACTTTTTCTAAGAATGAAAGCAGGTTTTGCGGAGATATCTAGTCTAAAAATATATCTGCCATGTAAGACTGCGAAGAGAGCTTCTTCTGAAACATCCATGAATTTTTTTTCTGTATGGACGATCGTCTTTTTATTCAAATGCAGGCCATTAGGATAACCCTCCGACATGATTTTATGAAATTGTTGTTCTCTATGGTGGCAAAATAAGTACGCGCGGCTTTGGCGCGTTCGTCATGTTAGCCTGTGCCAGGCTCTCAGATAGTATAGTGGGAACGTATTAAAACGAGCAAAGCGAAAATAAGACGCGCACGACTTGGGAAAGGGGGCGCCCTGTCTCTCCCCAGCCCCCGCGCGTTTTTCGCATTTCTTATTACTGAACGACTTTCCACCACCATCTCGGAGCCTGGAACAGGCTATCGCCATGTGAGCTTGGATTACTGCTGTTTCCGATCACAGTTTTGACATTTCCTTTGTGAGAGCCGAAGTAGCTGTCCCTTCAGAAGGTCACCGATTGATGTATTCCTGTGCCATTTTCATGTAATTTTATATCAGTTTAACTTTGCTCGGGTTTGGCGCATAGAAATGCTCTAAATTTTAGATATGTTATAGTTTTCGACATATCAGAGCAGTAGACAAAATAAAAAGTTGTTTGAATGACTCTTTTGCTATCTTAATTCATTTCTAAAATTCAAATTTCGCGCTTTTCGCCCTATTGACCAATTAGAGCATTCAAATTTAATTTGATTAGAGAAACTAGCACCTAAAAAATAACTGCCGCTATTGCACTGGCCTATTGTTCTTTTTCCTAGTTCTTACACGGACCATTACTTAAATAATTGCGTCTCAAAATGATAAACTGCTGTCATCTAGGGTGTTGACAGTTCTAATTGCTGCGGAGCGACCGAAGGGAGCGAGCAGCAACATAATCAGGATTTAAAGGAAATATATAAGGGACGACGAATTCTCGAATTCATCACTTTTTACCACAATGCATTGCATTTAACCACACTTTTTACCACAATGCATTGCATTTAACCAGAGTGCATTGCGCCACAAACAACTCAAATAAAAACACGGGGAAGTTCGGTGGGTGAGAGAGTGCATCGTTCGCTGCTCAGACTTAGGTCTTACCAAATTATAAGACACGCAGGAGTCTTTCAGATGAGTACGATGGTTAACTTGGGGATTGGATTTCAATTCAAGAGCCTTTGACTCGTCCAGGTGTTAAACCTGACGAGAAGATGAACATTTGCTCTTCGACTCCGCAACACGGGGAGATATACAAATTCCAGCTTGCTAGAAGGTGATGTGAAAGTGAGAAAATGTCATGCAGTGCTATTCTTAAGAAACTGTTTGAGCCGAAAGTGGATGTGATTTTGACCATTCGCTTCAAAATAACAGCGGAAATCGAGATAACAAAACATATGTTTTGTGTCCTACTTTGCAGACGAGGAAGTGTATCGGCGTTTTGAGAAGCATAATTATGTTTTTTCTTTCATTCATTGCCATGGAATATGCGTTTACATTGTTTTTTCACTGTTAATAGCTCGGTTAATGCGGCTGGCGATCATCTTGCCGGCGGAAGTTTCATGGAAAAGGAATAAAATAAAAGACTTTTCCTGAAGATTACGTAATCAGCCTCTGTGGTGCAGTGGTTAGGTGTAGTCGCGTCAAGCCGAAGGTGCAGGGTTCGAGTCCCACCTAATTCCATATTCCTTCTTTCTTTTTTTTTTCCGTTTTTTGTGTTGTTGTTTTCTATAAATATATAGCTAAATAACTGTTACTTAATAAAGTACAACAAACAGCAAGAAAAGTATTGTGTTTCCAGAGAAAATATCGTGCACCATATATTAAATATATGGATAAACAATCTGAATTTCTATTATTTCCTACAATTTACTGTGGGAAAACCAGAGTTGTAACTAGTCTAACTACTTGATCATTTTCTAAACAACGTTCCCACGAGTTCTTTCTATAGACTGATAGTAATTATTCTAGTACTTTCCAACACGAAATAGGACATTCAATGTCATTTTCGATTCTTTTAAGTCTCACTGCCTAACTAATGCCAGTATCCACAGAATGTGCCGCAGCATTACTATCTCTTAGATACGCTAGTATTAATCCTAAAATAGCAAAATCTTCAGGCAAATTGTTTAAAAATTGAAAATTATTGAAGAATTATAAATGTGAACAAAAAAAACACTTGTTAGGACGTGGACCTCATTAGATTGTTCACCGTTCCCCTGTTTTCCCGTAAGATCGTCGAGATCGAGCGCTTTGCGTTTCGGGGCTGCCATCTTGGATGAGTGTCAAAACTACTTAGGGGGCGGGGGGCGGTTTAGGAGGAAGCGTCCCCGCCCCCTAAATAGTTTTGACACTCATCCAAGATGGCAGCCCATAACAGCCATAACGCAAAGTGATCGATCTCGACGATCTTACGGGAAAATATGGGGACTGTGAACAGTCTAGGACCACATAGAATGTATGTAGGAACGATTAATTTGCTTCTGGTTAGAAGTGCCTATGCTAAGGAACTGGCTGTTTTTTATTCTTTATTGTATATCCTGTTTACATTACTGTGCATGAGCTCCTGTTTACACTATTTAGTTGGGAGATCTCTTAACCGGTATGCATTATTGAGCTGGTATGACCGCAATAGAATCAGAAATTAGTACTTAGGCTTCGTCCTAGTTATTCTCCC